ACATCTATGGCCAATCCGCGATTGGAGTTCCTCCAGCTCCCAGACCCTGGACTCTTCCTCCTCCTCCTCCTCCTCCTCCCCCCTACTCCTGCTCCTCCTCCTCCTCCTCCTCCTCCTCCCTCCTCCTCCCTCTCCTCCTCCTCCTCCTCCCTCCTCCTCCGCCTCCTCCCCTCCTTCCCCCTCCTCCTCTCCTCCTCCCTCCTCCTCCTCCTCGTCCCCTCCTCCTCCTCCTCCTCCTCCTCTCCTCCTCTCGTCCTCCTCCTCCTCCTCCCTCCCCCCTCCTCCTCCTCGCCCCCTCCTCCACCCCCCCTCCTCCTCCTCCTCCTCCTCCTCCTCCTCCTCCTCCTCCTCCGCCTCCTCCCCCCTCCTCCTCCCCCCTCCTGCTGCTGCTCCTCCTCCTCCTCCGTAGTAGTGTGGGGTGCGGCAGGTCTGTGCCGTGTCGGCGCGGCGGCACGGCCACAGAACGCGGTGCCTCCCGCCCTCGTCCGCTCGGGCCACCACGCCACCGTGCACGCCATCGCGGGCACGGTGGCGGACTGCGGCGGGGGCCCACGCCGAGAAGCTCCTGGCTCGCCTCCAGGGCGCCCTGGGCTCCGAGGGTTTTGCGATGGAGAGCGTGGCGCTCCCGCACCAAGAATCCATGGACGTCCTGGGGTCTCGGGGTCGGGTCTCCTGTGGAAGGCTTCTTGGTTGGGAAGGTTTCTCGTGGTCGGGCCTCCGCTGCAGCATTCCCTCGAGGAGCTTCGGCGGGCGCCGTCCAGCGAAACCTCGTGGGAGCCGGGTCCCCCAGGGCTCCGCCCAGGTGCCGCCCATGGTGACTGGGCTGTGTGTCTGCCTTCGTCGCTGCCGTTGTCGTGCCCTCGACCGCCGTCGGTTTCCCCCATTTGCCACAGCTCCTCGGCCGTGTCCCCCCCCCCCCTCCGCGGCCTCGCGAGGCCGCCTCTCGCCTCGGGGAGGGGACAGAGAGAGAGAGAGAGAGCGAAAGAGAGAGCGAGCGGCGGCCCCCGGCCGGGGCTGGCTCGAGAGGCGCACCTCCCCCACCCCCGTGGCCGGGCGCACTTAAAACGACGCGGAGATCGGGACAAGATCGGATCGGGATAACTCGAAATCTCTGAGAATCGGCGGGTTTGGAGGATGTATTGGGCGCCGCGGCCGCTCCAGAGCGTTCGGGAACGCTCCGAGAGCGCTCCGGAACGCTCTGGAGCGATTTGTCCCGATCCTAGCCCTGTTTTAGCACTCCAGACCCCCTTTGGCTGCACAAGACATAGCGTTACTCAAGCAGTGGCGAAGCGTCCTGGCGTGCCTATAGCCCCACCGAACAATGTTCTAGGAACCTTTTGAGGTTTCCACGAGATGTTCTGATAACATCTCTGGCGGAGTCTGTATTGATTTATCACATCGGGTTTATGTTCTAAGTACATTGTTTTTGTTCTTAGAACATTTGTGGGTCCTACGAACATTTCGTGGTAGGACTAGGAATGCTGGGACGGTCGGTCCCTACTCAACCCACCCCCCAGCGAACGCATCCTGGATGAGCGATTCCAGCTCCCAGGTGCCCGGGTGGAGGGGACACCCTCCGCTTTTCTGAGATTGTACGTTTCGCTACCGATGTCTCTTCTTGGGGTCGCGCGGGCAGTCACAGGGCGGCGTTACCTCCTTGGCTGTTGGTTGCAGATATGTTTTCAGATTTGTTTCGCCTGGCTCATGATGCAGCCGTGCTGGCCGACGCAACTGCGCAGCTGGGCGTCGCTTGCAGCTGGCGCTCGGGTGCCAGCTTGCTGGGCCCTCGCGGCCAACCTTGACAAGACAGGGTCCGATTCCGAGTCCGATGATACAACTTGAGACATGCGGAACACTTGGCAGCAACAAGGCACGCACACGGGAGGAGGAGGAGAAGGAGGAGGAGAAGGAGGAGGATGAAGGGAAGGATCCGTAGCCAGGAGGAAGAGGAGGAGGAGGAGGAGGAGGAGGAGGAGGAGGAGGAGGAGGGGGAGGAGGAGGAGGAGCTTCCCTGACCCCTCCCTCCAAACAGCCCAGCACCCGGGCGTCCCAAGAGTCTCCTCCAGCCGCCGTGCGCCCAACCATGCCATCGACGAAGCCTGTCGGGTGTGTAGCTGGCGTGCTGCCACGGCCGTCGCGGGATCCCGTCGACGTGCCCAGCTCCGACCTCTATCACTCCGAGGGTGCAGGGGACTATGTCATGTCTCCGTCCTCCTCCATCTCCCACTCCCCAGGGATGTCGCGGCCAAGGCTCTGACGCTCTATCCTGGGAATGGGCATTCGACAACGTATCCGGGGAGCGTCGACCAGCACCTGCTATTTGCTTCGGCTGCGAGGGGGTGGCCACGCGGTCCTCCACATCCCTCCTCCGAATTTCGAAGTAGATTTGAGTCGGGCCTGTCATCAACACAAATCAAAACAAATCGTCAAACAATAGCCTGGGGATTATTTGTTTTAATTTGAGTTGATCATTTGTGCATATTTTTGGGGTATGTTTTATTTCTCTTCCGAAGCCCGCCTGCAGGGGGGCATGCCCGACCTAACAGTAGATCGAAACAGCTCGGTGGACCTCGCATTATGAGTGGCGGTTGTTCGAGGGTACGGTAGGTTCGCGTCGTGTCGACTGGCGGCGACCCCGCCGCTGGCCTTCGGTGTTCAACGTCATTGGCGACCCAGAAACGGTCGATATTGAACGATCTGAGGTTTCGGAAACGGCCGATCGTTCAAGTTTTAAGGATCCACACGGTGTCAGAAACCAATGCGGGGGTCGGCACGACACGTATTTGTCGTAGGACGAGGTTGATGTTGTTGATGATGGTGTTGATGTTGATGTTGATTATGGTGATGTTGTTGATGATGATGCTAGTGCTGATGCTGATGATGATGCTGCCGATCCTGATGATGATTGATTGATTGATTGATTGGTTGATGATGATGATGCTGATGATGATGGTGATGATGATGACGATGATGTTGTCGATGGTGATGGTGGTGGTGTTGATGAAGCCGAGGATGCTGATGAGTGTAATCTTCATGTTGATGATGGTGATGGCATTGATAATAATACTGGTGACGATCATGGTGATTTTGATGAGGAGGAGGTGGTTTAAGCTTGGGCCCCTTGTGTTTCGCAACTATCTTTAAGTCGGGCCTGTCCCTCTACAGGAGGAATATTTGAAAATAGTAAAAGATAGTCGGGGGGACTATTGTTTAATTTGCGTTGGCTATGTTGTAATGTTTCTTTGGGAATGTTTTAATGTTTCGTCCAACCTAAGTCTAACGAGAGATCGTGGCCCCCGGAGCGCAGGCCCCTTGTTTTTTATCGAAGCTACCTTGTGGTGCCCGGTCCTCGTCCTGCCAGCACACCTTCACACCGTTCTCCTCCTCGCCCCTTCTCCTCCTCCTCCTCGCCTCTACTCCCCGCCCCTCCTCCTCCTCGCCCCTTCTCCTCCTCGCCCCTCCTCCCCCTCCTCACCCATGCCAGCACACCTCTCACACGCTTCGTGGCCCTATAGGGGGGCTCCACAGAAGACCCCCGTGGCTGTGACCACAGGCGCCCGCGCCACCCAGTGCAGCGCTTCATGGACCCGTTGGGAGCTCCACCGAAGGCCCCCGTGGCTGTGACCACAGGCTTCCGCGCCACCCAGTGCAGCGCTTCGTGGGCTCATAGTGAGCTCCTCCTCCTCCTCCTTCTCCTCCTCCTCGTCCTCCTCCTCCTCCTCCCTCCTCCCTCGAATCTCCAGCCTTGCGCAGCGCTTCGTGGGCTCATAGGGAGCTCCACCGGAGGCCCCCATGGCTGTGACCACGGGCGCCCGCGGCACACGGTACAGTCTCGGGGGTGGACAGACCTCCTCCTCCTCCTCCTCCTCCTCCATCCTCCTCCTCCTCCTCCCCCTCCGCCCCCTCCTCCTCCTCCTCCTCCTCCTCCTCCTCCTCCTCCTCCTCCTCCTCGTCCTCCTCCTCCTCCTCGTCCACCTCCTCCTCTTCCTCCTCCCCTGACACGTCGATTAAGGAATTGGCCGTTTTCGGTTCGCGAGAGGGCGTCGCGGCCGTCATTTTTGCGGGTCCGGGTCCGTCGGTTTCGGTCCCAGGCCGTTATCACTAAGGGGGGTTTACTAAAGGGAGGTTTGTCCACCGCCGAACAGTGTTCCGTGGCCATAGGGAGCTCCACCGAAGGCCCAGTGGCTGTGATCACGTGCGCCTCCCCGGACTCATTTCGGCACGCCCTTCGCGCGTTTCGTGGCCTGCCCCTGGAAAGCTCCAGCGAAGGCCTGGCGGCGGTTTCCACACCCCCCCCCCCGCTCATGTCGGCATACCCTTCACACGTCTCGTGGCCCCATCAGGAGCTTCCCCTCCTTCGTCCTATCTGCCTTGCGGTACCGACAATTGCATCTGCCTTGCTCCTTCACCAGGATGATTCAGGAGGGGTCGTGCCCTCTGGAGGGTTAGCCGAGTAGGGGAGTCGTACCCTTGAGACGCCTCCACGTGCACAGGACACGGTGGCGGATGCTTGTCATAGATTGCACGAGCTTGCTCTTGTTTGCCACTTTTGGAGTTGGTTTCATTGTTTGCGATAGTGCTTTCTTGGGCGGCCAGCATGCCCTCCTTTCTCCTCTCTCGGCGAGTGCTCCTTGTACGTTTGCTTCCTGTCGTTTGCAGGCTCGGACGATCTCCAGGGCTGCAGCCATCCTGTCCTGCTTTTCTCGTCCATGGGATCGGGCACTGGAGCGAGCTGTCCAAACAACGGACAAGAAAAGGATGCCTGAACCACTGTGCTCCGGAAGCCACAGAGCCTTTTCGATGACTCAGGTTCGGATGTACATCTGCAATGGGTCCGCGCGAGCGCCAGCAGCACCTCGTGAAAGCGAACGGCTGGCTATCTGGCTTCACCGGTGCGTCTTGGGTACGCTGGTGGCTTTTGCACGCCGCGCTCCGGAGTCCTGATCAGGATAACCTCTTCTCGGACATCGCGAGAAGCCTGATCAGCCCCAGCTCCAGGCCGGCCCCGCTGTTCCCTGTGCCCTCTCCAGTGCCAACGGAGGGCCGGAGGAGGGGAGATTCGGCAGAGGCCGGTCGGACTTGACAGGAGGACGTAGTCCGCGTCCAATTTCGGACCCTGTTTCCTCACGGGTCCAATCGACGGTGGGGTGTAGGACCACTCCCAGGCTTTCGCTTGATTGCAGACATTTGGGCGTTGCGTACTGGAAGGGTCTTAAATGGGGGGGGTGCGAGGGTGGTCCGAAAAGGTACCCAACCCTGGGGCTCCGGAGGGGACCGAAAGGGACACGAAAGGGGACCGTTTCTGACCCCCCCATTTATGACCCCCCCATTGAGTCCCCCCCGAGACAGCCTTCGAATCTGAGCCCAGCCGGCGTTGCAGAAATCTGACCTGTTGGGGTGGGGTCCACATGGGGTTGCTCACGTTTAGGCAGGGAGGGAGGAAGAGCGACAGGGACCCAGACCCCCGACGTCATGATTTTTGTCATTACGTCGACCCCCAGGGGTCTCGACCCCTTCCCCGGGACCGGTTTGTCATCCTGAGTCGTTTTTTGACGGTCCCGCGGCCCAGGAAGGGTCCCCCGAGGCAAAACACATGTAGAAAAACCCACCGTCGTGATTTGTCTTTTATTCGAGGGGGTTTGGGGACGCAGGAAGGGAGCAGTTTCATGAGAAGAGAAAAAACACACAGACACAATTGATTGTCGATCCCCAGGAAAATATGGAAAAATATGGGAAGTTGGGGGGGAAGACAAAAACCTAGAAAATATAGAAAAAGATGGGGAACCGTTCTCTATGTGTGTGTATTTATTTGTGTGTCTCAGGGCCCCTTCATTTCAGTCCGCTTGGGCGCGGACGACCTCAGATGTCACACGAGATGCAGCTCGGCCCCCTCCGCTGTGTGTCACCAGGCCAGCCGCGAAGCGCCGCCACTCATCCGCGCGGGGATCCGACGGGAGGGCGGCACTCTGTGCCCAAGGCGTGAGGTAAGAACGGTGTTGGTGAATTCGTAGACCGTTTTCGTTTTGTTTTCGTTTCTATGTTATATATATAAGAATATGTATACGGGAAGGCGGCATTTTGTGCCCAAGGCGTGAGGTAAAAACGGTGTTGGTGGATTCGTAGACCGTTTTCGGTTTGTTTTCGTTTATATGTTATATATACAAATTTAAGAAACTTTATAACGGGAAGGCGGCATTGTGTGCCCAAGGCGTGAGGTAAAAACGGTGTTGGTGGATTCGTAGACCGTTTTCGTGTTGTTTTCGATTGTAGGTTATGTATATATATATATATATATATGTATATATGTATGTATGTATGTATGTATGTATGTATATATATATATATACAATCATGTTTTTTATTGTTCCTTTGTTGTTTAGAAAAAGAGAGATTCAGCTCGCGCCCTGGCTGGGCCCGCGTGGCCAGCGCCGTGGCCACTCAGTTCCCAGTTGCGAAGCCACAGGGGGCCAGGGCCAGAGTCAGTCCCGCTGTGGTCGCGCCTCGCGCGCGGCTCGGCCGACGGGGGAGGTCGGCGGCGGAATCCGAACCCTGCCCTCGCAGATCCATCGTCCAGGTCATCCGAGGGGCGGCAGGGGTAGGAGGAGGAGGAGGAGGAGGAGGAGGAGGAGGAGGAGGAGGAGGAGGAGGAGGAGGCGGAGGAGGAGAGGAGAAGGAGGGAGGGGAGGAGTAGGAGGAGGAGGAGGAAGCAGGGAAGGTAGGGAGGAGGAGGAGGACGGAGGAGGGTAGGGGGTAGTATTGGAAGCCGGCGGCCCCCGAGCACCGGGGCAGTGGGGCCGGCCCCCGGCTCATCTGGGCAGGGGCCAGTCGTGTTGTTTCGGTTATCGGCCCACACGGCTTCCTGCCGAGAGGGGCGCCAGGAATGGCGCGGATGTGCTCGGTCCCGTTCCAGATGACTGGCGTTAGTCGACTGTTCGTCTTCGTCGCTCGCTCCCTTCCTCCTCCTCCTCCTCCTCCTCCTCCTGCTCCTGCTCCTCCTCCTCCTCCTGCTCCTCCCCGTGCCACTTCTATTCTAAACTCCTCGGGGGGCGTATCGCCTGGGGGCGCAGGGGGCGCCACGAAGGTTGTTGGACATCCACTTCCGATGAGCACCCCAGGCGAGCCTCCCGTGGAGTGAACAGAGGGGCGACAGTGGCATGGGGGCCTGCGTGCAGGCCCCCACTGCACCGCCGCTGGGTTTTCTTCTGACCCTCCGCAAGGTGCGAGCTGGGATGCCCGTGCCTGTCGATGCACAGGCGGCGGCATCAATATTCAAGCTCATCATTGGCCTGCTTAGGTGGCCCCGAGTCTGTCACGCTGCCGCTGCAGGCGCGGCACCCCGCGCCAACAAGGCGCGATTTCTTAGGAGCCAGTGTTCAGACCTCTGGGCACAACCAGAGGATAATTGGTCGGGCAAGCGGGTGGCGTCAAGTTAGCTCCGGCTAGCCCGCCACTGGTTGCTTTTGGCTCGCTTCAGTGGCCGCTCGACGGCCCCACTGCCACTGCGAGCACGGCAGCCCTCGACTTCGTCGGTCTCATGTAGGCGCCGTGCCGACTTGGGTGCCCACCCCTGTCGATGGGCAGGAGTGCGCACCCGTTGTTCGTGCCGTACTCTGGGATAACCAACCTTGTCGATGGACAAGCATGGGCATCCCCTCCCTCGTACATGAGGATTACTTGGTGTACGCACGCTACGGCCCGCTCCCAGGGCCGTGCAGCGGCCAAACTGCTGTTGTGGGTGCGTCAGCCTTCGCCTTTGACGATGTCAGGAAGGCGCCGTTTTGATCTGGATGCCGCCCCCTGTCGATGGACAGAAGTTCGCATCTAAACTCGGGCCTAGCGCTAGGATGCCCATCCCTGTCGGTGGACAGGGATGGGCACCCTACCCTCGCAATGCGGGCTTGCTTGGCATACGAGAACTGTGACCCGCTCCCATGGCCGTCGGACGGCCTTTCGCAGTTGCGGGCGAGGCAGCCTTAGACATAGAAGGTGGCCAAGTGGCGTCGTACCGGGTTGGGTTCCCATCCCTGTCAATGGGCAGGCATGGGCTCCCGCCCATCGAGCCTCGAGCTAGTTTGCCCATCCCTGTCGATGGACAGGCATGGGCATCCCACTCGCAACGAGGGTGCTGCTAGGCACATGAAAGCCACGGCTCGCGCAATGGCCGCAAGAAGGCCACGTTGCCATAGCGAGCGCGGCAGCCTCCGGTACCAGAGGGTGTCACGTAGACGCCGTTCCGGGCTGGATGCCCACCCTTGTCGATGGACAGGTGTTGGAATCCACGCATCGTGCCTCGAGCTAGGATGCCCATCCCTATCGATGGACAGGTATGGGCATCCCTCCCTCGAAATGGGGGTTTGCTTTGCACACGAAAACTGTGGCCCGCTTAGACGGCCGCGGGACGGCCAGATTGCCGTTGCGGGCGCGGCAGTTTCCGACATCGACTGTGTCAGGTAGGCGACGGTTTTGTTGTGATACCGTCGGGCCCACCAACGGGCGCGGGCCAGCCCAACAGGCGCTGGCCTAAGACCGCTTTGGCGGCACCGTCCCCAGCCTCAACAATCCTTCCCCTTCCTCTCCAATCCCCACCCCATGGACGAGTGAGGATGAGGAAGAGGAGTTTCACATGCCGCGTTCTGACAGAGCGGGGTTTTGGCCTCGGCGCCCAGACCTGACAGAGGGGTGATGGCGGAAGGCTGCGCAAATCCCAGAGGTGCTCGGCTGGGCGTGGGTCGCAAGACGGTGCCTGCGCGCTGTCAGGGCTCTCGACCCCATCCTCAGGAGGTGCTGAGGAGCCTTCCAACCCCTCCCTCCTCCCCATCCCCCCCCATGGACGTGAAGGAGGAGGAAGAGGAGTCTCACATGCCGCGTTCTGACAGAGCGTTGTTTGGGCCTCGGTGCCAAGACCTGACAGAGGGGTGATGTTTGAAGGTTGTGCAAATCCCAGCGGTGTTCGGCAGGGTGTGGGTCGCGAGACGGTGCCTGCGCACTGTCTGTCACGGCTCTCGACCCCATCCCCAGGAGCTCAGGAGCCTTCCAACCCCTCCCTCCTCCCCGGCACCCTCTTAAGAACCACTCAAAATTTGGCTTGGTCACTCGCGGAGTTGCACGGACCCGGCTGCAGCCACGAGTTCAGGCGTTAGCACATCGGCGGGGGCCAAGGGCCCCGGCGGGGGTGTTTATTGCTTGGGCGCAGGCCAATTCGGCATTATGGGACCCGCAAACGTGGCCACTGGACACTTTTGTGTTATTGTGGTTCAGCGGCGAGGGTTCTGACCCCGGCCGCGTGCATAGCGTGCGCTGGTGAGGGTTTGGCCCCTCGAAGGCAGGGTCGCCGTGGGAAGGTCATGGCTCGCGCAATGGCCGCGAACAAGGCCATGCTACCATAGCGACCGCTGCAGCCTTTGGCACTGGCGGTGTCAAATAGGAGCTGGATGCCAACCCCTGTCGATGGACAGGTGTTGGTCTCCACCCCAGGGCCGAAAGCTAGGCTGCCCATCCCTGTCGATGAACAGGCATGGGCATCCCCTTTCTTCACCTACGGCACTGACGGTGCCAAGTAGCCTAAAGCTAAGATGTCCATCCCTGTCGATGGACAGGTATGGGCATCCCCACCTAGCAATGCGGGGGGTGCTTGGCATGTGAAAACTTGAGCCCGATTAGGCGGCCATGGGAAGGCCAGACTGTCGTTGTGGGCGTGGCAGTCACCACCCATGGAGCCCTGAAGAGGGGCCAGCGAGGACCCGAGCGGGTCCCAAGAGAAGCCCAAAAAGGCAATGCGAAGCATGAGTAGGTTAGCCCCTGCTCAGAGGAGGGGGAAAGTATTTGAGGTTCGGTTCATCCTGAGGACCCAGACCGTATCTCATGGGTTTCGAGGGACACCGCCTCCCTCGCGCAGAGTTTGAGCGAGCACTGGGATGTGTTGCTTCGCTTACGGGTTGTCGGGAGGTCGGTCTGGTCTAGTGTTACAAGGGTTGTTTGGGCCCGCTGGCCTCGTCCTTGT